GAAGGATTGGAAAGAGGGTCATTGGCGTCTGAAGCAGACTGAGAGATGAGGGGAAAGGGGAGGAGGGATCTGGAACGTATCATTTGACTCACTGATGAAATCTTCAGAAGAGGGAGTAACACGATCTGTTTCTGGATTGCATGGCGAAGAAGGTCTACTCGAAAAGGAGGATGTAGATGGAATGGGATCCTCGGCATCTGTAATGTCTTCCATAGTTGGTTGTAGGTGGCTAGTAGATGGTGACGAGTTCCCAACCGAAGGTGTAAAAACCTCTGCGGGGGTATTACTTGTTGAAGCAACAGGAGACAGAACAGGAGATGGAGAGTAGGGTTTATTTTACGTTTCTTCGAATTTCTCTTCTTGGGGGACATACGTTTAGGGAGAGGGTCATGTGATTTGGGAATAGGAGAGGAATCGGGAATAAGGGGAATTCTGTTGTCGTCAGTGCAACCATTTAAGGCGACCGTTGAGTCAAGAGTGATGGGGTTACTTGGAAGGAGGGGATTGTCAACAGCAGTACAACCACTAAAGGCGACCACAGGATCAAGGGTGGATTGAGTAGAAGAAGGACACTGGGATGAGGGGGTTGTGGGTGTTGCGGGAGCAGAGGGAGGTTTAGAGGAGGGACCGCTGGATGTAATGGGAATGGCGGGGTCATTAGGGCAATGGTTGGAATTAGATTTGCGGGCACTCCTTCTGGTGTTGACGCGATTGGGCAATTGTGGAGCAGCAAGAGAGTCGTTATCATATAACAGGTGACTACTTGAAGGTTGGCTATCAACAAAATTAACGGATGACATAATCGGGACATCAGAAGATGGAGGGATAATCGTCGATGAGGAAATGCCATGTTCTCTTTTCATGTGTACACCAACTCCTTTAAGATTGTTAAACTGTCTATCACACAATAGGGCCATTTATACGGGACAAAATAAGACGCGACTTACATAAGACGCGACTTAAATAAGATGCGAGTTTGTCGTATAAAAGGTACAAAATTCTTATGTAAGACGTGTCTTGGATAAGACGCGTCTTACATAAGAACAGGACTTTTAGCTGTTCTTATTCAAGTCGCGTCTTAAATAAGAAATTTTAGACAAAAATTCTAACTACACATGCCTGAAACTTGAAACAACGTAAAATTATTAGCCTTGCATATTCGAACAAAAACAACCAAAACAACATTATAGCCATAGCAAGTAAATAGGAATAAATCCGTAGAGAACCATTTATGCGATAACTCAGCTTATATAAGACGCGTCTTATGTAAGACGCGACTTATTTTGTCCCGTATAAATGGCCCCAATGTGCACCATGCAGAAGTAATAAGGGGAATATCGGGATTGATAGCTCTGAAGTGTGTCGTAAAGTTTGGCCATGATTTGATAATGGTATCACAAATACAACAATAAAATGGCTTGCCCTTGGGGTATTCACAAATTACAGACACAGAATGAATGTTATCGCAATCGGATGCTTTATGCTTTTTAACATGATGAACACCAAGGCCACCTTGCGAATCGGAGACAAATTCACATTTTTACAATGAAAAAACCCAACAGGACAGTTATTAGAGATGTTACTAGACATATCCAAAGTTAAACGTACATACCAGACGAAAATAACAAGACAAGGGATTTCATTACGCATTAATTAGATGGGACGCAATGAAAATTAAGGGGATTCCCCGGTGTTAAATATATCGGCATGTGAAAACCCCCGTATACTTAAGTGTGTGTAATAGTTTAACCTAGAGATTGTTTTATAGTTTAATTTGTTTATTAAATAAAAAATGTTCTTCCCCGAGTGGGGAAGGGGCCGTACTCGGATGTAGTGCAATACCGAGACCACCCGTGGCCAGGGCAAAGCAAGCTTCAATCCCATGGCCAAAGTCCAAAAATCAGTTTAATATATGAGTTAGGCATTGCCTAACATATCAGATATTAAGCTGATAAGAACAGATACTACACTTGATCTTATTTTGAGTTGAACGACGAAGGGCTTATCGACTCCGACGGTGCAATGGAGCCTGGACCTGTGATATCGCCGCACCCAGGGGGTTGCTACACAGCAAGCAGACAACAGAGAGTACGACCCTCTCCCCCATGCCATGGACAACCATGAATGGCCTGAACAATCAGATGCTAAGCACCCTCATGTCCAGGGGTCCCTAAACCTATGATGGTGAATGGTTGGGAAAATTATCTTAACTAAACATGATGTCAACATGAGCAACCCACTGGTTACCTAAGATCAAAGGAAAATTGAAAGAATTCCCATGCAACCCACAAGGACAAAGTTGATGCGAACCATGGGACAAAAATTGAGAGAACACAGAAATGACCAAAGAGGAAACAAACTGCTCCTTTAAACAAAGATGGTAACTAAAACAAAATTACTAACAAAAAACATTTACAAAACAAACAAACCCACTGAATACTGGCAGTATAACCAATGAAGGCGACCACCACATGCAGAGGGAAACACAAAATGCAACTGAAATGACATAAACAAAACAAACAAGAGAACTTGAAGACAACAGCATTACAACCAATAAAGGCGACCCTGTGAACGATGTTCAACATCATGGATCTTTAATAAAAACTGACAAGCCACTTTAGCTGTGAGTTCTTCAACTGGTAGAAAATCACCGGATGGACGAGGAATCACCCACATGTCACGATTCTGAGTGCCTTTTAAATCAATTCAAGCACGAATTAATGACCCATAAAAAGGAGGAAGCTTCTTCACCAAATAAGCTGGAATGGGATTCCGCACTAACACATCGGTCACAGAGTCATGACGAAAATGCAAAGAAACATGATAATTTAAAAACACTGACCACGGATGAGGGGAATTAGATAAGAAGCGACGAAACCAAACCGCACAAAATGACAAGATTTTCATTGAAATGTCCATGACACCCAAACCGCCATCAACAACATCACTGAGGTATGAGCCATCCATTCTCTATTCTTTCCCCATACAAAAGGGAATAAAATCTTGTTGATCTTAAAAATGACAGTCTTTGGAACATCAAAAATTTGCGCTTGATACCAAAGGAGAGACAAACCGAGAATATTGGCCACCAGAGCACGACCACAAAATGAGAGTTGATGCTGCTTCCATAAAAGTAATCGATCTTCAAACTTGTCAACCAGAGAGTCCCAGTCTGCTTTCCTATCGTTACTCAACCGACACCCAAGGACAGTGATAGCAATGTTTGACCAATTTAAGTGAATAGGCATATCCAGACAATCCCTCCATGAGCCAAACAATAACCCATGACTCTTATTCACATTCAGCTTTGCACCAGATGCATTCTCATATGTGCAAAAAGAGCGAACAAGGCAAGGAGCGCACGATCCGACATCACAAAAATGCTAGTATCGTCGGCATATTGACATAGCTTAATGCATTGTCCATTCATCATAGTAAAACCATCGATATTGGCATCTTTCTTAATGGCACTGGCAATGGTCTCAGCAACGAGAATATATAAAAGCAGAGACAGAGGACAGCCGTGATGAACACCCCGAGTAACTTTAAAGGCATCGCTCACATAACCATTAACAAGGACCCGAGAAAAAATATCTGAATATAACAACTTGACCCAGGAGCAAAAGGAAGGACCAAAATTCATTTTCTGAAGAATGCGCAACATGAAAGGCCAATCAACTCTATCGAAGGCTTTTTCTTGATCCAGTGAAACAAGGGCTCCTCATAAATTATTAACATTAGAATAATCAATGACGTCCTGCAGAAGTCGCACATGTTCACTCGAGAATCTATTGGGAACACCGCATACTTGGACATCTGAGACAACAGACGAAATAACAGAACGAAGACGATTGGTTAAAACCTTTGCTAGGATCTTATAGTCCATGCAAAGTAAAGAGATAGGGCGCCAATTTTTGGTATCCAATTTGTCATTCTTCTTGTACAGCAATGTAATTAAGCCTGTGCGCTGCGAAAAGGACAACGAACCAGAAGAACTACAGGAATTCAACACTGCTACCAAATCTGTTCCAAGGAGATTCCAGAACCGTTTATAAAATTCATAAGGTAACCCATCAATGCCTGGTGATTTATTGTTCTTCATACTGTTTAAAGCTGACAAACACTCAGCCTCCGTAAGATCGCCTTCACACAAAGCAGCTTCAGGATCTGACAAATGTAAATCCAAAGAATTGATAAAGAAATCCTGGTCAGATGAAGATAAAACGGCAGCAGTGAAAAGTTGGACATAAAAGAGACACCAAACTCGAATGATGGCATTGATCGAACGTACAACGACCCTGTGAGCATTTCGGATGCCAGTAAACAACTTCCAGACACCACAAGTTTTTTCTTGCTGCAGAAAATATGAAGTTGACCTTTCACCTTCTTCAGCCCACTTCTCCCGAGCTCTAATCTGTGCACCATGCACTGTGCGAAGATGATCTAATTCCAGTTCATCATTAACCTCTTTAATAAACTGCATCACATCTTCACCATGAGTTTGTCGTTTATTCAAGTGAAAGAGAGTATGCTCCAGAGATTTAACACAAGACCGTCGAGAAGAGGCTTGTTGTTTAGAATACCGACGAATAATGCGTTTCAAACGACCTTTACCAGCATCCCACCAAATAGCTAGTGAAGGAAAGGATGATTTTTCCCCTTTCCATGCTTGCCAAAAATCCTGAACACGCTGACAAAACTCTTCATCTTTGAGCAAAGTAGCATTAAATTTCCAAACACCTGGACCCCCGCTCCGGCATCATTGGAAGAGTAAACCGAAGAAAAACATAAGAATGGTCTGATCGAAAATAGGGATAAATATCCACTTCTGCAATAGACTCAGTTAAACTGGACGAGACCCAAAACATATCTAGCTGTGACGCTTGTGAACCATTAACACAACACCAAGTGTAATTACGCTCATCAGCATGATTCATTTTCCAGACATCGCGCAGATCAAATTCTTCAGTCAGATGTCGCACAGAACGAGGCCAATTGTAGGCCCAAGGAGACGAAGAATTACAACCAAAACGATCGAGTACCGGATCAACGACTGTATTAACTCATTCTCCTCCCGTGGAAAAGTAGCAATTTCGAGCGGTGTTGTTTCAAATGCTTATATCTCTCAAACTATACATCGCACGGAAACAAAAATTGCATCGTTCGAAAGAGGAGGCCTTCTGCTTTCCAACTCTTGGTTAACGATTTACTCGCATAAATTTGCATAAATTATGATATAAAAAAATGTTGCAATTATGCATAAATGTAATTAGCGGTTCAAATTTCAAATATGTCAAAAAAATTTATATGACTGAAAGACACGGTTATGATCTACAAGTACCCGAAGTTTCATGCATGTAGCATAAATAGAAATATTTTTATTGAATTTTTATATAAACTAGGTAGGGGAGTAAAATTTACATTTTGTGCTCACATGAAACAAATACCTTTATCAAAGGTCCTTTTTTATTGCTGCAACATGTTATCAATACAAATTTCCAATATTTCTTACTCTCCAAAGATAGTATGGCACCAAAATAAGTCTGTGATACCCACAAAAGAACACTCAACTCATGATTAGCAAAATGTCTTTATTTCTACAATTACTACATACATTCTTAGATAATCATTACA